TGCATTTTCTTATGATTTATTATAAGATTTATAATATAAAAATTGATTTTCTGAAGATCTTTTTTTTTGTCATTTTCAGCTCTTTCTCCAGTACCTAGCCTAAATGCTATCAGCTAAACTTTATTAATTTCATATATTTCAGAAGTAATACATATTGTGAGAGTACAACTAGCCATACATATAATTTTAGATTGTCTATTTTAAGTAATTCGTCTGAAGGTTCTACACTAGCTACTATACCTGAAATTTCTTAGAAGATTTCCTATTTATACTCTCTGGTCTTATCTCACTTACCACAAATATTACTCTTTATAGTTAACTATAACCCTGTACTACTTCACTTTAGAAAGTACCCAAGCTGACATTAGTCGCAAACTTTATTGTTATGAGCCTAGGTCTTACTCAGATAAGTCCCACTTCAATGCCCTCTAACAGATAGATATTACAATATCCAACTATGCTATACTATATTCTAATCTAGCTTGCATATATCCTTATTTGATGTTTGTACAAACCTGGTTCCAGCTGTGGCCCTCCATCAGTTTAGACCTCCAAATGTTTTACAAGATAAATCCTCCTAATCTAGTTAGCCACCAAGCCAAGTTAGTATAGCTGCTAAATGCAAGGCACTAGGCTGTGTTATACTGTAAACTTACTCGTATCTACTTGATTCGTACTCAGAAATCCTTACCAGATCAAACATTAACTGGCATGACAATCAAAATCTGTACTACTTCATCTAACTCAGGATTTCTACCATGCAAGTCCTCTGCCTGTAGATTCTATCTCAATTTATTCATGTAATGCAACTCCAATATTCTGTCACACTTCCAATGTCTGAACAACATTGGTGCAATGTGATTTACAGAGTTACAACCTCAGAAACGGACAGAGTTTACCATAAGTTGGATACAGATGTCTAGGTAATTATTCAATTCTGTTGACAGTGAGATTTGAACCCTAGACCTCTTGCATAGCGGTCTGACAACCTATCTACTACACTAGATCACTGGATCTTTGCGAGTGGGTTCTAATTTAGATATAATGTAAATTTTATATTACAAACACTCACCTAACTCTCAAGGGATGGTAATGCATGCCAGCAACATGAACTAGCAGATTTGTTATCAGCGTGTCAGTCACAGCTTCTTCTGTGCCTTCATCATTACTTAAATTCTTAATAACTTCATGTAAATCGGTTAAGAATACTTTGGCCTGATTGTCCAAAATTTCTTTAAGACTGTTAACATCAAATTATCGATTTCTAAGTGTTTGAATATCGATTTGGGAAGAGTATATTTCTCAAAAAAGCTAGTCATATCCGCCGATTTGATTTTTTAGGTGTCTTTTTTTCGATAAACGGTTACACGAACTATTGACAATAAGTTACGTGAAAACAACTAACGAAGTACTTAATAAAAGAGCTTCTTTAGTTCACGTATGAAGTAAATAAGAAATAAATACAAGTAAAACGGCTATTCTAAGCTGTAAAAGACGGCTCTATCACTATTTTTTGAAACGTTCGGATATTTTCGGGTAGTGAACGACGTTGAACGATCGGTTGTATTATGGGTAAGAGTAAATTCGGAAGCAAATTTTCAGGAAAACGGCCTTTTTAACTTACTTTCAGCCTATAATTAAATATGAAGATATTATAACATTATATATACTTAATTATAGATTCAAAGTAAGTTTAAAAAGTCGTTTTTATGACAACTCACACTCACTTTATATTCTAATTTTACACAATGATATTCTTCGTTGTGATTAGCTGATTTTGGGGTCAAACCAAATCGGCCCTGTAACTAAATAATATTATTATATTAAGTTCGCTAAAAAGAATGTTGAACAGCATAGTTAGTACCTTCTGCATCACAAGGGAGGACGTCGCATTTGAGAGCTGGCTTGAAGCTCACTTTTAGCGTTCGCAAATCATTTTTATTGAAAGTAGAAGTAGTGGTGTTGAGAATGCCAGTAAAACCCTGTTCTTTAAGCGTGATCTTAACTAATTCTCGTAATTCCTTAAGGGCATCGTCAAATAATGTGGTAGTAGATGAGAAGAATACTGCTGGTCGAAGAGCGCGTGAGGTAAGACGAGAAAATGACAAAAAAAAAGATCTTCAGAAAATCAATTTTTATATTATAAATCTTATAATAAATCATAAGAAAATGCA